CTGACTACAACCCATATCTTACTAGCCTACTAGAGCAGTGTTGCGGTCATGTTATTGCTACTTTATTCCCCTCTTTACATTTTACAATCGCAGTCTATTGCTACTAGAATAACATTCATTCATGTATAACAAATAATAAGTTTCTTCCTGAGTTCATAATGTAGGAAATTTCAGTGGAGGGATTAATGTACCTCTAACCATCCTGCCTCGGTCTTACATGAGAGCTTCGATCAGACATACTTCGAAGCGGGATCCTCACATACTTATTAGCTACCTTCATCCTCTTGGCCTGACTACTCTCCTCTTCCTCCGCATATCCTAGGACATACACAGACAAACCCTGATTGATGGATTCCCAAGAATATGGACAATCCATCACGTCAGAAGAGCGAGTGTCCGTAAATACCCTAACATGATTTTGAGCCTGGGGGGACCCACTATGCCAATCCCTGCACCACTCCCCTTATACCTGATTAACGGGCTCTGATAACCAAACCAAGGGCCTTATTGAGGTGGGTACTCGAACATATGACTCATATGGATCCTCGGACGGATCTTCCTCAATAGAACCCATGATCTCCAACGGGTCTGACTTGATAGTATAACTTATACTTCTTTTTAAAACTTTCATAGCCTTCTAACCCACACCAGCGGCTGGTGCCTGTAGTCTAGTAGTAATAGGCATAATTGAGAACATAAATAAGATAAAGATTAGGAGTGAATGCTTACGACTCAGCTCTATCGCACAATTTAGATCAGAAAGAAAAGTAACCATCCTAAATATCATGTAGCATCATGTCTATAAGTGCGGTACACAATACACTCATAACAAGACTCTACCAGACACGGCTAGTAGACACCCTAGAAATGGACTGCTCTGATACCATATTTATCACGACCCAGCCCAGGGCTGTGACGGATAACCGACACTAAGTGTCGATCGTCACTAAACTTGCTGATAATCTACTAATCATGAATGTAAACGGATAAACTGAACAAACATAAGCATAGCTGATAAAAACTGTACAATCTGGAAAGCTGACAAGGTTAAAACAAGCTGACATATAGAAACATACTAATCGCACATGTACATATAGACAGGCCTCTAGGAGTGCTGAACTGAAAAGGACTCGACGGAACAGGGCGTCGTCATACCCAAACTAGATGATTGTACACATACAAAAAGATAAGCAATTGTTAGAGTAAGCGGAGTAACTCCAACAGCTCATGGATGGCTTACTGTTGTGGCTCAAATGCTGATCTATCTATACCTGCGCGACATGAAATGTAGTGCCCTAGAAGGGACGTGAGTACGATATGTACAAAGTATGGAGGGTGGAGCATATGTAAAGCATACCAAAGTATGACTGTAAGCCGGAAAACTGGATACTGAAAGCTAAACAAGTGTCTAAAGAAGGGACATGAGTACGATATGTACAAAGTATATAGGGTGGAAAGCATATGTAAAGCATACTAAAGTATGACTGTAAGCTGGAAATCTGAATATAAGCTGAAAGCTAAACAAGAGTCTGAACTAGCAACTGATCTAGAACTGAACCGAATGTTAAGCTAAAACTGTGCTGAAACTGAACCACTATTTGAACTGGTACATGTCTAGTTTTATGGTCTATATCCCCCAACCAGGTAACTGTAAAACTAAACTAGCCTCATATATAGTCATGCAATACAAATTGTAGATATATACACCTACATAACATGCTTGACTGGTGTTATGGGCTATATCCCCCCAGAAGGTAAATATATAATTAATAGGCCTTGCTGGCATTATGGACTATCTCCCCTAGCATATAATCAATAGGTCTCGCTGGTGTTATGGGTTATATCCCCCTAGCATAATCAATGTAAGTATGTATAAGGCATAACACATGTGGCATATATGGACTCAAGATATCGTGAAGGAAACCATAAATGGAATCACAAACGTACTCTGACGCTCGTCGTCCATAAGTTGGAAGGAAGAGTCTATCCCCATTTTAGAGAGAAGATGAATATTTGCATGAGATGCTTAGGTTAATTAACTCATTAGGATCCTCCTATAATCAATTTATAACCAAGGAACTCAAGATTTGTCCAACTCTTTGAATTTTCAAAAAATTTGGCAGAGTTTCCTCTAAAGCTAGATGATCCTCAAAAACAATAGCAAGCACCATAATATACACGAGAATGGATACCCGGCCATGATGTTAAAATAAAACTAAAGGATATCTAGTTATCCACAATAGTGTCAAACGATCGACAAAACAGAACTGTGAATATGATGTCGACTCATAGTGGCTAACTTGTGACATGAAAGTCTAAATATAATTTAGAAATAATCTAAGAATAAAACCCTGATAATTAAGCTTATATCCTTAAGTGAAGCTATTAGGGTGATATTGGTGTTAGGTATACATAAAAACATCAAAGGAACGGAACAAGCGGATGTCCGGATGGCATAGGCCAAATGACAATTCATCCTTTTTGTTTTTGTTGTGTTTTGAAGTTTCAACCTAAACAAGTTTCTTCCATAATTCACATATAGAATTGAATACTATACAAGGATATCATACATGCTGAAATTTCCCTTGAACAACCCTTAAAAGATCAAGAGGAAAGGCTAGAACATAGCTAAACTAAATCATGCCGAAAACGAAATGAAAACCATACATAGCTCTTGTGTTCTTGCTTCCAAACTTTGTTCCCTGTGATCCTCACCCTTAATTATGATTGGACAAATAAAATACATAGGTGACAAGCTTCCTTAGCCATAAAACTCTTTCCAAAACATGAGTTGTAAGGATAAAAGGGGGATGGCAAAGTCTTACCTATGTCGTAAGGATCGCGTTGATTTGTTCGCATCTTGATTTTGAGTTGCGGATGATGGAATTGCTTCAAAATTCTAAGGATGTTTTTAAGATGTCAAGAGAGACTTTTTAGATCTGATTTAGGTCAAAATAGAGACGAAGGATACAACTTTATATATCAAGATAAACTTCAACCGACCTTGTGGCTCCCAAAGGAAGCTGATCCCGCTGTATCGCGAAAACGCGAATATCTCTCCACTCCAACATCGTATCGCCAAATGGTTTAGTTAGTAAGAAACTAGACTCGTAGATATTTAATTTGATGGGTGGATCAACCAGTAATTTCAATTACATTGAGAGAAAAGCTCAGTAGCATTAAACCTAAATTTTACGTAAAATTATGAACGTAACTTGAGATAACTTTTGTTGACATTTGTTTCCTGACTAGTTTGACTTCAAAAATTAACACACGACTAAAATACGTCATAATATTATCTCCTTATCATGTTAATCACCCTAGTATCGCTCAAAAGTACGGGTTATAATATTCCCAACTTGCCGTTTCGACGAAACTTATTTTCTTTGATTTGTTTAGCTTTTAAACCTTCCAACCCTCTTGGTACTTGCAGTTTATGATCTTAAATATTTGTAACCTCCAAAGTAACAAGATTAACTTACTTTATGTACTGTCAAAGATAATCTAATTGCCGAACAAACATCAACTGACTTACGATGTAATTTTACGTACGAAAACATGGGGTGTAACACAAATCTAGCAGGATTTGAGTGTATTCTCTATTTTTAAGTGTAAATGCAGTGCATTCTTGTATTTTTCGTCGAATTTTCTCAGATCTGGCCGGCTTAGATCTAGGTGGATTTGAGTGTATTCCTCATTGTATAATTCTATTGTTTGTATCTTTGTCTACTCTGTATTTCACCTTTGAACTGTATTCATGGATATAAATGAATACACTGAATCCTTTTGTCATGTACTGTACTCATGGATTCAACCGGATTGCTGTCATGAATACACTGAATACACCTGAAAACCAAAGTACTGGCTACGAATGGAAAATATCCAAACTGTGGTTACATAGAGTAATTAGCTATCAAAATATAGTCATTTCTAAAAATTTCCTAAAAAATAAGAAAAATAATCAGCTAAGTTCAAATAACTGCTTTGAAAGAGACTCGAATTACCGTGTTTTGGCCCAAAGCGGTACCTTCGATTTTCACCTAAAAATTGATGTGCCTGGCAGCGTCTTATGATTGTGGGTATGATCATTTATTCTTTTTTGTAGTTTAACTTGGTACGAAATTAATTAAATAATAATTATTTTTAAACTTATGGTATAAGAAGCTTAAAGAATAGACGGCATTTTGTGAGGCTTTTAATTTGCGTGGCTATAAAAAAATTTCATTAAGAATAAAAAGGATAAAAGAAAAGTTTAAAATTAATTATTTTTAAATATATAAAAGTATTATTCTTTTTGAAATGTACTAGTAAGAAAAAGTATCACATAAATCGAAACAAAATGAAGTATATTTTGTATATAAATATATCTATTGTTCCAGTGGGGATTAATGTGGGTACTGGAACACCCACTACTTACTATTTGGATCCGTCCCTAGACTATAAAGAGTCGTCTAGTTACCGGGATAATGATATTAATCCCAGTTTAAAATATGAGATTATAGTAATCTCATAATTAATTGTAAGTATTAGCTAATACTTTTATAAATTTTATACCAAAATGATACACCTATCGTCATGTAGGAGGTGAGATCCCATAGGATATTCTAAAACTGAACCAAACGACCCCTAACCATTGGAGGCTGGATTGAACATTGGATGAAGGTGAAACTGCAGGGATCATTTCAAAAAGCAACGACAATGATTTTTAAAATCTTGAAATTCTAAAAATAATAACTAAGTAATGGTCAAAATATTTCCAAGACTCCCTTTTTTTAGGAACATAACTGGAATAAGATAGATAGATAGATAGAGCACAAATAGATGGGTAGATTACACTACTACAACATCCATAAAACATGCAGTGTTTTGAGATGTAAATAAGAAAAAGCTGCCTCCACCTATGGTGCAACATACGTTAATACTACAACTAACAAAGCAGAAATATTTTCTGCATGGAACAAAGTTCTTCTTCCAAATACTTACAAATTACAACCTACTTATTATAATAAAACTATTGGATTTTCTGGAGTACCATCCTCCGGTTCAGTCGTCAATTCAGCCGGAAAATCACCTCTGAGAATTTGAACTTTGAACGTCATTTTCGCTCTGCTGCACTCCAGAAGTTCAAACACAAGTCCATCTCCGATCTTCAAATTATTATCATTCACAAAAAATTTCCAGCCTTGCTTAAACCTCCTTTGATTGTCTCCGGAGCAGAACATGTCCCACTTCTTTCCACGGCAAGTGAGGACTACAGGAACTTCACCTGGAGTAAGTTCTGGGCATATTTTGGCTGGTAAAAACTGTCCATACAGTACGTATAATATTCTTGAATTAGTTGCGTCACACAACACACACTAGCAGAGGTGGCAAAATCAACTATAGATTTTTAATATGTCGCCCACCTCGGCCAACTCCCTCAAACTTTTAACTTTCGGTATGACCCCAACTTGACTCAACCACCAAAGGAGTAAAAAAAAAAGTGAAAATAGTGTAATCCGATCAGTCAAAATGCAACTCAAATCCGAACACATAAAGTCATATTAGATTCTTTTTTTTTCTTCCAAAAAGCTAAAGAAGGGAATTAAGGAGAGGTTGGACCATGTTAAGTAGGATGACCAATTTTGACTCGGACAAACTTTAGGTGGATTGGTAATGGCAAGTTTACCTATTTAACATGTTTTGATCCAATCAAAAATTTGACCTCAGTCGCCCATTTAGCTCATCTACTGCGTAGGAGCATTCAATGAAAGAGGAGTTAGAAACGAAGTTACCATCATATACTTGGGCTCGAGATTTGACTGGCCGAGGATGAAATCAAAGTATGGTTTGCCGCAAAGTGGTGATATATCTTCATCTTTAGAACCAGCCATCGATTTCCCTATCTTTGCGTTCTTTGCAGGTCCCTTGTATAATACGTAAATAAAATAAGTTACATATTGAATCTTTTTTTACACAAATGTCAAAAATCAAACATGAAGTTTTACTTTTCAAATGAGAGAGTTACTGATTACCACTCAACAGAACTAGCAAAACCATCGAAAGAAAATCCAAAAGAAGAAAAAAGAAGTGATAAAAACAAAGCAAAAAGCCATGCATTGATAATCGTTATTGTCAACCAAATAAAACTGCATACCCCATATTAAGGCAAGAGGAATTGAAAAGGAAATCAAATGCTCATAGTTGTCATACAAGCTTTAAGAACTAGAGGTGAAATAATACAAATACTAAAGTTCTATCACGCATGTAAACTTCTCTACACAAATATTATTGGTAAGCCTTATAAAAATGAAAAAAAAAAACTATAAGTATATATAACTTAAACTCAACTAGCTAGTGTATAAAATAGGAACTTGGAGGGATCGGATGGCAAAAACCACCTTCATATTTGGCAGACTCTCGGAGAGTACTTTGAAGTTGTTCTTCCACTGGAATTACAACTGATTATTAAGGTCTCTATTTCAGCTCCCTCTCTCTCCTTATAAATATTCTCTGCCTCTTCTCCACCACTCTATGCACGCCCTCTCACTGATCTACTCGTGACTTAGTACGAATATCCCTGCTAAAATCATGCCTGCCACACGTGTAAATAAAGAAACCGATCAGGTTTAGGCATCGAAATAATGATAACTCTTTCCAACAGCTTAAATTGCATTTTCTCGGAAGTAGAAAAAGGGGTTAAAGAATCTTTGGAGCTAGAGCCTATTCTGAATTCTGATCACTTCTACTACTCTATAAGGAGTACAAAGTTCAAAAATATATTGTGTTTTTATACGGTGGAAATCGGGCTAGTCTATAATATGGTAGATCGGGCTCGAAACATGACGGACTGAACATCGACCCCGAGTTTTACCGAACCAGAACTCGAGGCCAGAATGTCTGTCTTCGAGAATATTGAGTCCGTGATCCCGGAATCGATCATGACTCTGAACGAGCTCAAAGAAACATTGTTAGCGTAACCAACAAAAGACCGAAATATCCGTAACCGGTCGGATATTACGGCGAGAATCTCGGCACGTATCAATAAGGAATGAGCAAATCAAAAGATTTTTACCTTGTATAGAATTGTACTTAAAGTAGGACTCCCCTACTATATAAAGGGGGTCTGATCACTTGTACAACACATTGTAACACGCATTCCAAAGCTGTCTATTATTAATTTTTTTCTTTAAGCTATTGTTCCTCTATATATTGATATCCTGTTCAAGTGTGACTGACTTTCCATGACTATAACAGTTCAAAATGTGCGGTTTGCATTTACTTTATCATTGTTCATTTCAATTGCAATTGTAATTTATCGCTTTGTGTCAATTTAATCCACGTGTCCTTAAAACTACTTACAAATTCAATTGTAATTAGATTTTGAGGGTAAACAATTTGGCACCCACCGTGGGGCCTAGAACAATGGTGATTATTTGATACAAATCTCCATAACACACACAACTTTACACTTGTTCTTTGAATGTCTCTAGTTTCAGGTTAAAACTCAAAAATATCAAACTCTCAATCATCATCCCTACATGTTGACAATGAGTCTGGTCATCATGGTGAAAATAACAATATAGCGCCCAGTAATGAAGTTCCGCCTGTTGATCCTATCAGAATTTCAGTCGCGGACCCGTTGGACACTAACTCGCATGTGGCTATCGACACAAATCTGCCTACCGACCTCGAGAATAGCATCTGTGGTAGAGCCCGATCGACAGCGCAAAATACTCAAAACAATGGAGAAGACAGGATCAATTTACGGATGATCTTTGAAATGTTACAGGCTCAACATGCGGCAATAGCTGTCACGACCCAAAATCCATTAAGGGTCGTGATGGCGTCGGACACCGCTGTCAGGCAAGCCAACCAAAATACTCAATTAAATTCTCGTTTTAATAATTTTTGAAAACTACGATTTTCCTTCAATTTTACTAGTAAAAGGTAATCATTTCAAATAAAATATAAATGTTAAGAAGTTAATACAAGATATCCCATAATCATCCCAGAATCCAGTGTCACAAGTGCATGAGCATTTACTAGGGAATGAAAATACAGTAATTGTCTGGAATATAAAGTGGATAGAAATGGAAATACAACACAATACTCTGAAGGAGACCTGCTGGCGACGGGTCGACTCGATAAATGTAGCTCACCTAAGTCTCCGTATCAACCATGCCGCTATGCCACTAAGCCACTAGCCACACATGAACCTGTGCAACAAATATGCACAACAAGTGTAGTATGAGTACGGAAACAACGTGTACCCACTAAGTATCCCGTCTAATCTCAAAGAAGTACAGAGGAGGGGTCGACTTCGACACTTACTAGTTGTCCGATAATAACATACCAATAATATGGTAAATCGTAGATTTTCATAAAGATGGGTGTAACTCAATAGCATGAACCAAGTAAGCAATTCTTTCATTAATAGGGGATTTTCAAATTTATTTTTCATCATTTATACAAGTATCTCAAGTCAGGAAAAGTAAATACCAACATCTATAAATCCCAAGGCAAGCAATACAAGCATGCGCAAATCATGCCGAGGATGTACGGCCCGATCCAACAATATTTAAACTGTGCACTGCCAGAGGGTCGAATGGCGCGAACCATAGATGCATCTATTACCCCGCTCGCGAATCATACATGCGATGCGGTCAAATATAAATAAACACAACAATCAGTCAATCAAGAATTCATCAGGGAACAATTATCCAAGGAAAAGCCAATTCTCTTTTAACAATTCAAGAAAATAAAGTTTAATCTTTTTAGAAATTTATTTACTAATTTGATGTGATTTAAGCAATTCAAACTATCAATAAGATTACAAATATTCCAAGTATAGCATTCTTTTGAGTCCTAGACTACCCGGACTTAAATATAATAGTAGCTACGCACGGACTCTCGTCACCTCGTGCGTATGTAACCCCCACAATTAGGAGCACAAATCCAATTAATTTACCAATGGGGACAATTCCCTCTTACAAGGTTAGAAAGGAGACTCACCTTGCTCCGAGGTTCCATAACCGGCTTTCAAGCCCTTCCGACGACTCAAATCAATATGCAACGCTCCAAAACTAGCCAAGAAATGAGAAAATCCATAAATATAGGCTCTAATACTCACAATAATTCAATTTAGATAAATTCCTAACTCCGCTCGAAGAGTTGACAAAATTGCCCTCGGGCCCATGTGCCCGGATTCCAAAAAAAATTCACAAAATCCGACAACCCATTCCGATACGAGTTCAACCAACCAATTTTATCAAACTCCGATAACGAATCGACCTCCAAATCTTGAATTTTTGTTTTTGAAAAGTTTACAAATTTTCTCCAATTTCCTCCATTTGATTCACTAATACTTGATGAAAATAACCATGGAATTATTAAATATACTCACTTTTGGATATAAAATACTTATCCCAATCCATATAGTGAAATCGCCTCAAAAATCGCTTTAATCCGAGCTCCATAACTCCAAAAATGAGTAAAAATCTCGGACTGCTCGATTTATACATTTTCCAATATTTCGCACCTGCGGTTACTGTTCATGCAGGAGCGGTACTGTTCACGCACCTGCGGTTACTGTTCACGCACCTGCGAAAAACATAGCAGCTGCCCAAAAATTTCATCAGCTTTAAATTTCACTAAAAATACTCTAACTCCATCGTACGAACTCGGAATTCAACGATTTTTGTTCCTATGAGTCACAAATAATAATACGAACCTATTCCTTCAAACGAAACTCAATTCGGAGCTCATTTACTCAATGTGATACCAATTTCGCTCGTTAAACAATTAACTCATATTGTGTGCTAAAAACTCAATCGCGACTTGATGAAATTAGACCAAACTTTCTGGATCACTCCTATAATTCATTATCAAAATTCCGGAAGTCTCGAAATCGAGTTTCGATTTATAGAACTAAAAATGGACCTTTGGATCATTACATGCTTATGCTCAAAATGCCAAACTCTTCCAAAAACTCCTCCAAAACTCATCCGAGCCCCATGGGATTCCAACCAAGTATACTAACAAGTCCCATAACATGACACAAACTTAGCCGATGCCTCAAATTATATTGAACAATACTAAAATATGAATCGCACTCCAATTCAAGCTTAATGAACTTTAGAATTTCAAACTTCTATAGTCGATGTCGAAACCTATTAGATCACGTTCGATTGACCTCACATTTTGCATACAAGTCGCATTCGACGTTACGGACCTACTCCAACTTCCGGAATTAGATTCCGACCACGATATCAAAAAGTCCACTTCCGGTCAAACTCATTAAAACCTTCAAATTTCTATCTTTAGTCAAATGACTCCAAAATGACCCCCGGACCTCCGAATTCACTTCCGATCTCGCTCCCAACACCAGAATCACCATACATAGCTATTCCCATACTCGTAATCCCAAGAAAACATCGATAACACTGAAATGCACTTCAACCCAAACTTATGAAATTCTTCCAAAAATGCTAACTTCCACTATAGGCGCCGAAACGTCCCTGGGTCTTCCAAAACCCGATCTGGACATACGCCCAAGTCCGAAATCATCATACGAACCTACTAGAACCTTCAAATCCCGATTCCGAGGTTGTTTACTCAAAAATCCAATCTTAGTCAATTCTTTCAACTTAAAGCTTCCGAAATAAGAATTCTCCTTCCAAATCAACTCCGAACTTCCCGAAATTCAATTCCGACCATGCGTGCAAAGTCATAATACCTGAAGTGAAGCTGCTCATGTCGTCAAACTGCTGAACGACGCTCTAGAGCTTAAAAAGACCGGTCAAGTCATTACAATAACTCAGTTATAAAACCAAAGCCGCACACCAAGCAGAATTGAACCTGATCCGTCCCAGGAAATCACCAACAGGAATGA